GTTCAAGTGGGTCCAGAGGAGGGCCACAAAAATGATCAGAGGGCTGGAACACCTCTCCTATCAGAAAAGGCCGAGAGAATTGGGCTTGTTCAGCCTAGAGAAGAGAAGGCTCTGGGGAAAACTCATAGTGGCCTTTCAATATATAAAGACAGCTTATAAGAAAGACAGAGAAAGACTTTTTACCAGGGCCTGTAGTGACAGGAGAAGGGGCAACAACTTTAAAACTGAAAAAGGGTAGGTTTAGACTGGATATAAGGAAGACACTTTTTACAATGAAGGTGGTGAGACACTGGAACAGGTTGCCCAGAGAAGTTGTGGATGCCCCATTCCTGGAAGCATTCAAGGCCAGGTTGGACAGGGCTTTGAACAATTTGATCTAGTGAAAGATGTCCCTGCCCATGGCAGGGTGGTTGGACTAGATGATCTTTACAGGTCCTTTCCAACCCAAACCATCCTATGATTCTATATTCCCCTATTTTAGCATATATTCATTATATATTTAAATAATGTACTTTGGAGAAAAGCCACAGGCTCAAAGCTTCAAAAAAAACCAACCCCCAAGAATCTCAAAAGCAATGACAGATTGGGACCTCATTCCTATGTAGGAGCTGAGACAAAGAAGGCACGCTCTTATATCTGATAGTATACACCTAGTCAGACACAGACACCAGGCGGCCTGTCCGCAATCAGCCAGGAAAAACTTACTGTGCAGAAGATTTAAACAATGGCCTCCCACATTGCAGACCTACTACCCTTGCCACCAGATAAACCTCAGTGTTGTTTAAACTTGAGAAGACTGAAACAGAATGCATGGGCAGATTTTTCCACTGTGTCAAGTTTCACAGGTATATCTTGAATTTTATTCTATTCAAAAGGCATTCTGACATGGAAAAATGGAGAAAGATGGTGATTTTCCCCAAATCAGGAGAACCACCTGTTAGACAGAGAAACAATTTTGTCTCTCCACATCAACAGAAAGGTACAGTGAAGCAAGACAACCAAGACATTCAGCCAGAGGGACATGTAGACACATCCTCCTCACACTTTAGCTTTACATACTCATCACTCAAGTCCAGCAGAAATTCCCACATGCAAAAGGTTGAGCTGTTAAAAAAAATTCACAAGCATCATGTTTCACAAAGACAGGCCTGTGACTCAACATTGGACAGGACAAGCCTACAGCATTTTAAGCCAAGTTGTCAGTTGCTAAAACCAGCAGGTGTTTTTTTTGGTTATAAGGGAGTTACATTTCATTATTCCCTCATCCACTGCAGTAAGAGGTAAATCCTACCGAACGAAGGGACAGCAATACCCACAATCTTAATATGAAAAGGTTTAAAATTTTACCGTCAACTGTAGCCAGCAACATTAAAACCATGATCACAGTTGATGCTGCTCCAAGTAATACCAGTAACATGACAGCTAAAATATAGCACGGAGACCACGGAGTCATGCCACTAGACATGCTAAATAACTTTTTAAAACTAACGTGTTTCTAATAAGAGCATTAAACAGGACAATTTTATGTAAATTAATAGCCAGCTGTTCTTAAAAACTATGATCAATATCTACCATTAGGACGCATAATCAGATAAAATCTTGTCAGGCATAATTACCCTCTCCATACAAAGAGCAAAAGCATATAGATAAACCATGCCGACTATCAAATTCTCCAAATGTAGCCACTTAAAAATTATTGAACTTCCACAGCTGATGCTGAGTCTTGGACACTTTCTTTTATGTCTGTCACCGTAGCATTTTTAACAGCACTAAATGATAGGAGTCAAAATGAAACATGAACAGCTTTTGTAACTGTTACCAAACAGCAGTAACTGTTGCTGCAGACCTAAGCAGAATTTATATCAATTAAAAAGGGAAAAAACCAATTCATTTCAAGCAGCCTGTTCATTGTATTGGCCCTATTTTTCAATATATCAAACAAGATATGCAAAAGCATGAGAACCTTCTAAGCCAGTAATTAGCAACAGTCTTACAGAAGTAGAGGCTTGAAGGAAGGGAGATTGGGACTGGAATATCAAGAAGGTGTGGGGAGGGAACATGAGCAAAGTTAGAGAAATGATAGCTTTTTGAAGAAAGGAAGGATACCTACCAGTAGACAGAGACTCCCTTAGAGGCATAAGTCCACGTGCATGCTCATAACCTGATCAGGCAAAACATCCAAACACTTGGCATCAGGCTTGCCTGTCTTAGCAGTGGCTAAGAAATGTCTCCTCACATGTCTGAATGCAGTTAAAAAAAAGAAATTAAGTATGCCCCAATCCTGAGCTAAGGCATACCTTCCCCTCTTGAGAAGGGAGAAGACCAGATCGTAAATCACATCTCAAACCTGTTTCCAACTCCAAGGAGCTCTCAGAGCCAGGTGTCTCTCTCCTGGGCTCCATTACGGAAAAGCCCTGCTTGTCTTAGCCACACTGATGAATTGCAGAGAAACCATCTAACTTGGCAAATGAATTAGTCTCTCAGGTACCAGTAGCAGTCCTATCTGCCATGCTATTTTGAAAGAAATGCAGTCCAAACACTTTTTTAAGAGTTGTTCTTTTGGAAAATAAAGATAATACATATGAACGCTTGACAGGAATAATCTTCTACCACAAGTCATGAAACATTTGAAGTCCATTGGCGAGACTGATGCCATAAAGATATTTTTAACAATAACAAGAAGAGTCAGCCCAGTGGCCAAAATTTAGGGAAGACAGAGGGTAAAGGCTTTCTAAGAAGGAAAGAGAGAAAATGTGTTGTTGAAAACTCTTTAAGCAAAGGAGCTTGTTCTGACTCTACCAAGCAGCTAGAAGCAACTGAAAGGAAAAGAAATACTCAGCTTTACAAATGCAGGCAAAGCATGTGTTTTGACAGTGTTTGGCTGCATCCATCTGCGGATCAGGGCAAAAAAGTTCTTGTTAGGGGCTTGTGTACAAGGTCTAGTATTGATCTATACAGAACAATCCAGCTACCAATACGTGATCTTTGCTTTTTCTCCAAGGTTCTTCGTATTCACAGTAGATGACTCCAGGGAGCATGCTCCAGTTTGAATTAAGTTATCCAGAGACAGGATGAATGTTCCTAGCTGAAAAGGTGATGTGAGACTGCTCTACTCAATGCTTGAAGGCTTCAGTGATCGCATCGTACTTAATGTGATCTGACCTCCAAGCAGATTTCTGGAACAGAAGCATTTTTGAACATGCTGCTGAGGTCATTTGCACTGCAGCAGGAACTGCCATGACTACTCCTAACTGTTCCAAGCTCAGCTACTTCAGCTGCTCCTTGGCACAAGTTCAAAAGCACATGCAGATCAGACTGCTCTCCATGAAACTTCTTTGCTACATAAATAAAAACACAAGCATTTTTCTGTGCTTATGGTCTGACAGCAAAAGAAAGCTTCTGTTCTGGGGGCCTTCAAAAGAAAAGTGGTAGGTTAATAATGCTGACCTAGATGAAATTCAGAAGCTGCCCCAAAGTTAATATTTGGGTTGATCATTCAGTGATTTTTATGCCTTCTTTTGTTAGGACAAAAGTGTAAACTAACAGGGCTTGAATTTCACTACTACTCTAACACAAGTGATGGCTGCTACAAAGGCTGTCTTCCTGAAGAGGTGCCACAGCAACCAATTTAAAAGGCTGACTTGTAGCACTGGGAAATAGGATCACTCCCTGAGGGTAAAATCCTTACTGAGATGTGAGGAAGCTCTGATGGAAGACCTAAGCCTGACAAGATTCCAGAGGTAGAGAAAGGCTCACTGCCACAAATGCAAGGTCAGCTCTTCAGTTGCTACAAAGGAAAGAGAGGGGCAAAATTACGTGCTTCTCCTTTCCTTTGGGCCTCCTGTAGCAGGCCATATGAATCAGTGTAGCAGAAAAGACTGCTTGCAGCTGATCCCTCTGCAGACAGGGGGCTTGGAGAATGTGGACAGCGAAGAAGGTGAAGCAGTGATGAAAAATAAATTAGCAATTTCATTGGAGATACACACTGGATTTTTGCTTTGCCACTAAGTTCTTCTTCTAAAGAGAAGACACGCCTGTAAGAAAATTCACAGATCCCAGGGTGATGCCAAAGACCAAAAGAGGAACAAAATATGGGGGTTTCTCCTGATTAACTTTAGGGCTGCGGGCTTAAAATCCCTGAGAACTTGCTGATATGTATGCAGTGCTGCCCTAAACAAAGGGGGAAGATACATATGAACACCTGAAAGTGTATCAAACCTTAAGCCATGAAATATGGCTGGAAGCCTAATGTTTTTGGTAGCGGGCTACAGAAGGGCTATGCAAAATAAGTGATAAAACCAAACAAATCAAAGCCATAGGCAATAGATCAAAAGGCAGGGAGCTGGTAAGACACGAGAAGAGCTGCAACTTAATCTGTAAATTGGGTCAGGCTTCAGCCTTGTTAAAATATATTAAGACGTCACAGCAATGTTACGGCTAGACCAAAGAAGTCCATGGTTTCAAGTCTTTGGGTATATGCATCCTTTCAATCTCAGCATGTCTTTGCGTCAGTGCTCAGAAGTCTCCGATCTTTTTTAATAGAAGTTTCAAAAGTGGGATGAAATTGGCTTCATATTTCTCAGTTTGTCACTGAGAAAACAGTAACAAGATTGTGTAACGCTTTTGTGAAGCAAACGTATAGCCTTGCAGGACAAGTGACAAAACTATTATTTCTACCTTCATGGAGCTACAGAATAACAAAACAAGTTATTATTGGCATGAGAAGCTGGTGACTTGACATTTCAGGCTGATGTTTACTTGAGTGGATATCTTTTGAAAACATCTTTATAAAAGAAGCATTTCAAAGCTCTAACAAAAGGTCCTAAGTTGGCCGAGACCTGCACAGAAACAAGCTTTAAAGATTCCATACTCTAAGAATTTGGTTACTTTAGAAAACTTAATGCTGTAAAATTGGTTTGCAAGCTACTAAGGAACCAAGATTCTAGAAAATTCTTCATATGCAACATTTGCTATAATCCATTACATTTCAGTCTCCTTACCTCTTGTCCTGAAAGGTAGTATGCTGCTAGAAGACCACCAATGAAGCGAATATTGACCTCAAAAACAGACACTTCGGAATTCTAGAATAGAAAGAAAGAGTAAATAATTAACAAACTCCCCTAATCAAAGAAGAAAATAAAAATCATCCAGGCAAGTACGTACCCTAAACCAATCTACATGCAAGGGTTTGTACTGTTCCAGTACCTAGATCTGTACTGAAATTCCTGTGCACATCTTCACACCACCGAGTGATAATTCCAGTTATATCTTCAACTGATTTTTAAAAATCAGATTAGTTTTTCTCCTGCTCTCTAATTATATTATCACCACAAAGTACAATTAAAGTTGTTTGGGGATGGCGGAAAAGAAGGCAAGGACTATACATTTCCACGATTCAGCATCTTCTCTTGCATTTAAGCGTAACACCAAGTCTTCTGGGTTTACAGGATAAAGTAGAATAATAATCAGAGAACTCCTGTAATGTGCTTTCTTAACCTGAATTACTAATGTGCAGTCTCAAACTCAGAGCTCCATTTTAGCATAGTCTCTGTCTAAGAATAGCCTTTATGTATTTAACGTTATGACAACAATCCCTGCAAGACCACTGAGAAACTCATGAGAATAAACAAGTTTAATGCCTTCCTCCACATCAAAATCCTTGGACTAAATTCACCAGTATCTTTTGATTCATTTAACCCACTGAAAAATTAAGAGGAACTAGTAGTTTTAACATCTTTCTGCCTCCCTCTCCACCCCATTCACTCCTTTGTCTGCATATACCCCCTGTCTCCCCATAAAATTATCTTCATTCAACTCATTAGACACAGAAATGCAGTTTTATTAAAAGATTGAGATAAAGGAGACTTTTCCTTTTATCCAGAAAAGTCACTACAATATACACTATACAAGTTGACCTACCAATTAGCACACAGTTGAAATTATATTTATAGGTATGTCTTTCCTTTCACACTATTTCTATAGCACCTGCAGTTGTATCATGCATTTTCCCTTTTATCAAAAATAAATGCATTTTGTACATATCACTTATATCAGAAAGATTATATGAATACTTTAAAGACTTTCTCAAATGGCACTGATGATTAAAAGTCTAAAGTTTGAAATACTCCCAAATACAGGTTTTTAGTAAAAGACGTATTTTTATTCATATACAGGTGATAGAAGAAAAATATCAATAATGCAGCATAAGATTCCACTTAATACCTATTAAAGTCATGAATCACACAAGCAATGGTATAGCGTAGAGTGAAACCAGTGATTGCTATTTCCCATAAAAGAATCCAAGCAGAACAAATTTATGTATTTATTTATAAAGATCAAACCATATAAGGAAATTACTCAAGCCTGATGTGTACATCAGACAACTCATTAACCTTCAGAAATATTTTTTGATACATAGGAAGCTGTAATTGAACCCCAGTGGGTCATGTAAATTTTTTCCACCCAAATCCTAGATTAATTCTGCAAATTTATATTGAGATTGCCTCAGATCAGACAAAAGTTATGGAAGTAATTTAGTTCACCCTCATAATGGTACTATTAAGTCTACACTGTCGCTGATATATGACAGTTTTAGACTGAATAATTATATCTGGCACTAACTGAAAAAAAGCAGAGTAGAATTTCTTTAATGTTTGCCAGACATTTTGTATAAAACAAAAGGAAAAACCTCAAACAAATAATTTCCAGAATGTAGGATGTAATATAAAACCAGCAAGCAACTGCTCAGTTCTGACTGTATACCTACATTTCACTTTGTGTATTACTGAATGAAAAATCATTTATTCCATCACTGAGTCTGTGACAGTCCCAAAATTAGTAATAAGAACACTAATCAATAAGAATAAAACAGAGCCATTTCTTCCACTTAATGTTTCCAAACTCTGCCCACACAAAGAAAGTCAGATGCTGTATGACCAACTGGGAAATTCTGGTGATAGATTCAGAACCTGTGGGCAAACTAAGACAACTCAAGCGGCATTCTTCACATTAAAACATCCTAAGGACACAGAAGAAGATATTCTATTGTTAGGTAATTTATACAACGCAGTTTGGGGGGAAATTGTCTTTCACATCTCAGTTATTTCCAACTACTATCAGCTAGTAAAGCCTCATCTTTCTGCTTTCATTTCTGAGGCCCTGTTGGTTCTCCATGACCTCTTTCCCCTTCTGCCATTATCCAATTATAATCTGTACTTTGAAAATACAATATATAGATGTATCTTTACTTAAAGTGTGAAAGGGTTGGGGTGGGATTTTTCCAAAATAAAGTTACAAACAGAGAGAACTTCACTAAAGCTTACATCTGAACTTCTGATACTTTGACTCATTAAGTTTTTTAAGTTTCAGCTGAAAGACCTCTTCTGTCTCGCCCCAAGAGGATCACTGAAAAGGACTAGAGAAATATTAGGGCAAGCTCTACTCACCACACTGAAATCAAGATTTTTGTCAATCCACTCTTGTCCTTCTCTGAATTCATCATGAAGCCCCATGATGTAAAGAGTATCCAATGCATCTACTATGGTAGCACCCATTTGTGAGTTTCCTACATGCAAAAAGAAAGATTTCTATTACAAGTGATTATTTCATTACTTTTCTTAAACATCACAAGCATGAGAAAATAACCCAAGCAGTAGCAAGGCAAAATTACTACAAAGATGACAGCACAAAGAATAACCAATCAGCTACATAAGAGGATCGCACTTCTCTTTCAAAGCATCAGTCCTCTGGCACAGTTTGGCTTCTGAGAAGAAAAGACAACTAAAGATACAAAAAAAAAAAAAACAAAACACCCCCACACAACAAACCCTTCTCATCTGCTTTCATAACCTGAACGTGAGCAATTGTACTTTGACACAAAGAAAGGACAGAAAGACATTCAGCTTCAAAAAGCTAATAGGAATTCTAGGACAGAAGTGTTAAAAAAAACCTAGTCACTGAAAGCATGGACTGCTGAGCAGGGACACCCTGGCTCGGCTTGACTGATAAAGCTGGAGCCCCAAGATGTTCACTCACTACCTGCAGGGACCCACACTATGAGGTGCTAATGGAATCCTGAATTGTCACCATTTAAAGTGAAGCATTTAAAGCCAAATAAAAATCAATGGTGCTTTACCCTAAAATGCCATTCACTTAAAACAGAAGCAATTTAGAGTTGATTGACAGAGCGACTCATCAGTTTGTACAAGGAAGACAGGATGAAGAGGTGGTGAGCCACTGGCCATGTTAGCCTTGACCTCCTTAGGCCACCCCAACCTAAGCTGCTGCCCTTAGCAGGCAGAGGCCTTTGTTTCTAGAGGAAAGCAAGAATTACCATGTGTTGATTTATTTTCATGGACTGTATAAAACTTCCTACACACTAAGGAAGTAGGCCAATTTCACTGTTCATACAAGTGCATTTAATTTCATTACAGTAGTCTCCTAACAAGTTAAGCCAATTTTATTTTTTAATGTGTTTTTTATCCACAATGGAATTTCTACAGTGCATTGTTCCTCATTGTTTGTTTCTATTCATTCATTTCTGATTTTTACATGTTTAGAGATTTTTCCCCCCTCAAGCATAACAATAACTGAATGAAACCATCTCCCTCATTGTATTTCTTTTATACACTTAAATGACTGATTCTTACATGCAAGCTTAATTCCATTTTCAGAGATTTCGTTCCCTAAATATTAAAAATTAAACACAGTCTCTGTGATGAAGTAATCACCTACTAATTTCTTCAAAAATAGCTGTGCATCTGTTTTAATTAATTTAAACCAGATATGGAAAGCCTTAAGTCAGCAGTGTTTGTTAAGAAAATTCAAATACAGATTGGGACACACTACCTTTCGCACGATTAATTAAAAAGACATATCCTTTGACAAATTGGCCACCAGGCATACTTATAACTCTCAGGAAATTAATTCACCATGGTGCATAAGTACTGCAAGGTTTAACACCTTCAGCCAAGTGACAATTTCCATTGATTGTGCCGAAGAGGAGGTTGCTTTGAGCAGAGCTACAGCATGCACTTAACTTTGTACCTTTTCATAAGCATAATGTGACAGTTACCTAATTTATCACTTCAAAATATGCAAATCACAGCATGACACAAGAACTAACTTCTGTACTAGCTGACAAGTTATTTCTGATGTAAAGGTAGAATGTGTTACACTGCTATGGCACTCTGTTCCTTTACTTAAACCACACTGATAACATTTTCAAATATGCAAGGAGTTTGAATGAATAGGGATACATAGCCTTGAGAAATACTGAAAGCTCCTCTTGTAATAGTTTAAAAATTAAAAACCTTCGAACTTAAACACAGCGATAAGCACATGGTTTGAGAATACATTGCATGGGGATGGACAGACATGGTCATTGTGTGTGCCCACCCCCAGAAAAAAGTTCAGACACCACTGTACAATCATCCACAGTTTTCTTGATCTTAAAGTACATTCAAGTGCCCACAAGCGGGGACAGCACTATGTTGGGCACAAGAATATCTGCTTTCCTACCTTCCACAAAGTATCTTCAAAAATAAAAATTTAAGCAACCTTTTTCATTTGAGTTCTCTGCAATAACCATGAAAGAAGGGCTATGGAAATGCAAAAGCCCACGATTATTTTTGCCATCTCATGAATTTGAGAGATGCATCCAGAGACTGAGAGAGAAAAGGCTAGAACTGCTAGAACAGAGCTCTCTCCAGAATTGAACAAAAATGTCCATGGTTTCCTAACACATCCCATAGTGACTGAACAACACAACCTCAAATACAGACAAGAAATTTGCTTTCATCCTGACAGTGTTAAAAGCGAGCCCTCAACCCCATATGTAGAAATCTCGCCTGAACAACTATTCCCCAACAGGGACTGACTGACAACCTGTTTCACACAAGATCCTCCAGCGTTGTTTGCAGCCACAGAAGAACAGAGTCTGATAGAGCAAACCAGACTTCCTCAGCTTCCCTCTCCCCGCCCCCTCCCCCCCCACCCCGAGTCAATTAAAGGCATAGGTTCATACTCCAAGCTTTTGCCTGAGCCACACTCCAATGGTTTGTTCAAATTCTCCCTCCGGCTGCCTTTTTGCCCCTTTCTCTCATCTTTTATGTCTATCTTTCCTAGACCCACAAACGTCCAACAGAACGCCTATTCCCTGAGTGGTGACAGCTGCTTGTTTCTGAGATGCCTATCAGTATGGTTATAGCTTCTAGATGACATGGTTCAGCTATTTCTTGTCATTTTCTCATAAGGATAGCATTTATATCCCAAGCCATCAGAAATTATTCATTTTTCTTGGTTTTTTTATGAATAAGTAGGGTATTTCAACCAAATTCAGATTTTTTTTCCCCCTTTTTCTTAAACTAATTGTAATTGCACACCAGCACTTCTTCCTTGACAAAGACTCAGAAGAACACTCTTTGGTTTTTAAACTTTTTTGGCTGAACACATTTCCATTAGGTCAAGAGATGACAAGTCAATAGTTTGCAACAGATCGTCTACCCAGTTATCATCTTTTAGTATCAAACAGGCAGCACAAAGCAAGCTGATTCCCTCCTCCTGAGCACTGAGGGGCAAGAGTCTAAAAATGCAGAGTTCCTATCCAGAAGTTTTGTGCCTACACAAATAGAGGGCATAGGCAACACATAGGACAATAGACTTAATGTAACACCTTGGCTTCCACATGTTGCAAGATAGGTACAACTTAAAACCATTTGTGGGCTATACTAGATAGGGTTAGAGGAAAAATAATTGATCTCAGCTTCTTTCTTGGAGGACTATGCAGAGAGGATGTCATTCTTAATTTGTTCCTAAATAACAGCTTCTGCTCAATTCTTCTGCATCTGCTGAGGCTCACAACCTAACTGGAACAGGCAATGATACTGTCATAGCTGCCTTCCTACACCTTAAAATGCACTGTACTACCAGCAAGGCAGAACCTGAAATCTAAAGCAGGAAGAAACAGCAAGTATTCAAGGGTCACTGGCGTGCATTAGTGTCACACTTGGTACTATAGGGAAAACAGACTACAACAGACAGGCAGCTGTGCTTCCCCCTCCTGATGCCGATACAAACCATTCAGTCTAAAGTCACAAAGAGAAATCATTTTCCATTCATAACACAGTATGGTTTTTTTTTCCTTTCATAGCCATGCTAAGATCCATAAATTTTGCCTTAAAGGACAAGAGGATAGTCTTCATGGACTTAAACTGCAGAAGGTACAATCTGAAAAGTAATAAAGTAACTCTAAACAATGAGATAATAGTTTAGAGGAGTATACACTGCTTACTACCACCTCAACCAGTCTGATCTATTATTGCTCCAGATACAGAGAGCAGATGTCTCATTGTGGTGAAAAAAAGCTATAAAACAATTAAATTATAATAGAAAATAACAATTCTCCTAGCTGAAGGCACTCCTCCTAGGATCTGCCTCTGTTCAATACAAAGGCTCAGTTGGTCATGTTGCATAAGATAATAACTGATTCCAAAAGGGCTCGCTTCTACAAATGTCAGATTAGGAAGTTTCCTCTCCATATAATTATAGTTCTAGTTGATCGAGCTCCAAATTTAATGAAGTTTGCGTAATGAATGCAATGCTCATTCTTCTAAATAAAACAGAACATCCATCATGAGCTAATGGAAGAAATTTAGCAGTGAAATAACCGAACTATTAACAAAATCATGCACACTCATTAAGCAAGAGTATTATTCCAAAGGACTGCAAAATAGTAAGTCAGATTTATATTTAGGTAGACTTCAGTTTCCTGAGATTAGACAAATAATTCCTTCACTTGATAGCACATAAATCTACAGTCTGAAATATCTAGCAAATCATATGACTAAGTGTAAACAGCAGGGCCATTAAAAGAAAAATGGTCTTCCTATCTAAAATTCTTTCAGTATGCTGAAGCACTAGATGAGCTGGTTTATTTATACCATTTTAAAGTCTCACAAGAGACAACCAAAGCACAAGGAGACAGATCATTGTCATGTGTTTTATGACAAAAGGAATATGAAGAAAATAAATAGTCCGTTTTCATTATACCATAAGGATAAGTATAGCGATTTAGAAAGTTTGATACCAGCTACAGGGTTGCTTAGTGTATTTATTACATGGAAACAGAAGAGACTACAAGCAGTGAGGTACTAGAGAAAACATGCGAACCAGCATAGATCAATCACAATCAAAGACTATGAAAGTTTGAGACAGACACTTTATGCAAATAAGGAACAAGATGACAAATAAACTCTATGCCAGCAAACTGAAGTCATGCACTCCAAGTTGAAAAGTAATCATCAAATAGGTGCTTCACAGAAACTTTGATTATTTTGACACATCACCCATAGCTACTCCTTTCTTCAACAGGTATACACCACACACATCCCGTTACTTCTTCCAAAAACACTTCCATGGGGGTTTTCACTAGCCCAAGTTGAGGGCTGAGCAGGTGTACTGGGCCTGGCTGGGATGGAGTTAATTTTCTTCACAGCAGCCTGTATGGTGCTGTGTTTTGGATTTGTGAATAAAACAGTGTTGATAACACACCAGAGTTTTTGCTAT